TGCTTGTTAACATTCCGAATAACAGTTTGAAGAAGCAGCTGGTGCGAAACAGACTCTATGAAAATGAATGCACTATGGAGCAATGCATATTTTGTCCGTACGGCAGAATAGGAGATTGTGCAAAGACAGGTGTGGTCTACGAACTGGAATGTCTCAGCTGCAAAGACTTCTATATCGGAGAAACGGATAGAAGTTTAGGTGTACGGTTGAAAGAGCATTTAGCGAATGAAAGACGAGGGACTTCAACAGCACCGTTGGGAGGGCACAAGATAGAGGCGCACTGCGGAAATGATTACGAAGTCAAATGCACGATATTGACATGCGAGACTGAAATTTGCGCAAGGAAACTATTTGAAGCCGCGTGGATTTCTGTCAGAAACCCAAAGATGAATGTCAAAAATGAGTGCTTGTCTATCAGTGGTAACTTAGACTTAGCTCCATTCATATCATTATGTGGGCTTAACGTTGCACATAAAAGGACTTGACTCATTGGCACTCAGTGACGTCCATTACGACCAAATGTGCGGACTTGTCGCTAGCCGGTAGAGTCGAGGTTCGTTCGTTTCGTGGCCTTGAGGATCTCATGCTGCGAGCCTTAGACAAGGTCTAGACTGACAGAGTGGGAAGAGGCGCTTGAAGGTATGGTGAGCAAGTCAAAGAGCCCACAATCCGTTTTCAGACCTCTGATGACCATAACATTGTCGAAACGTAAGGTCAATAAACTCTCCATCACAGAATCTGAAGGCACAAACTACTGACACACTTACTTACTGAATAGTTTTTTAGTCTTTTGCCCAAATCTCAGCACTCGAATACATTAATATTCACAAAATGCTTTGAACTGTCGTTTCTTGAATGATTTCCAGTGTTGTTCTCGGACTTCAGCAAATAAGCTATTGTTTTTGCAAAGTTTGACAGTTTTCTGAACAATTTTCCACTGTTTTGTTCGAATTTCAGCACTTAGACAAGTTTTAAACAGAAAAGTATTGTTTAATATGTAGTTCACTCTCTGATAACGGCACGGTTTTCTTTTTTTTCCTTTTTTCCTTCTTTGATTCTGGCTTTGGAGGATCATTTTGAAGGTTTTCGGCTAAAAGCCAGTTTCAGACACGTGACCTGAAGTTCCATCGGGCTTTTCAGCACTAGTCATGTTCCAAAACATGCTCTCTAAGAGGGCGATGCTTGAATTGTCGTCATGTCTTGAGCAATCGGACATAGCGGGCATGACTGCATTCTGCACTCCCCGAGTCGGGTAATTAGGCTCGGTACTTGAAGGCAGTGTCCGGACAAAAACTCGATTTTTAGAAAATACCCTTACGGGGCGTTATTCACAACACTGAACCCAAAAATCTACATTAGAAGGCGCGAAAACGGCGAGAACATGTGTTTTCCAAAGCTTTACATTTTGAAATCCGACGGTATTCGCCAAGGCTGATGCAGAGTCGCTGCGGGACCCTACATTTTAACTGTGGCGGCGTACTCTGCCGCATAGCGGGAATTCGGACAGCTCGGAGGACCCCGCCCCAAGGCGTAAGTTTCCCCACTTCTCGGTTTTTCTTGCTTTAGGTCGAACCCTGTAACCTCGTACTTGCGCGATGCTGTGTCTGAGGGGACCACTTTCGCATGGCACTGAAATCTCAAAACCCCTATTTTGTCCAGACATTGCCTTCAAGTTGTCTTTTTTCGGAGGCTTCACTGAAGCATCACATCTATAAAAGCGCATATCTCCAACCATGACCATCAAAATTTGTAAGTTGCTCTGTAATGTTTTACATACGGCCCTACAATTTATTATAATAGGTCGTTCCGAAAGTTCTTTCCGTTTTTAACATGTCATAAAAACACGTGGAACCAAGAAAGGGAAACGCTTCAGACACTGTCCGACGCAGCTTTTCTTCCTCTTTTCAACTGTCATATCTCTGTGCCGCTCGCTCTTGTGTTCAGTGAGATAATGGCCGAAATTTCGAACCCATGGTTTTTACCATGTCCAACTTTGGCGATTTTTCATTATCTTCTTCTTTGACTTTTGGAAAAGCTTTAATAGCAGTCGGATAGAGTAAACAAAGTGCAATGCAATGCAATTTTTCGGCATCTATAGCTAGCCTCAAAACATTTTTAGAATAATTTTTCTGATGCTATCAAATTCCACTTTTGGAAGTGCCAAAAGCCATAGAACATAAAACGGCGCACAACTAAGGTGTCATTCAATGCAGCTTTTTCTCCTCTTTCTGATGAGTGCTTTTTCTTCATAGTTTGTGGGGTCTTTGGAGATAAAATTTCCATAAATCTTGATTTTGAACCCGCCTCTTGATGTACCCGTGAAATGCTAAATCTTATATTTCGAAGCGGTAAACACTCACTTACTTTTTAAAATAGTGTACAATCATAGGCGACTTTTGAAAGTTTCGAAGACCGAAGATTTGTTGATGTTCAGAGCGTTTGTGTGTTTTGTGACTTCGGAAAAGTGAAGACTTCTGAAAAAGTTATCTAGAAAATAATGAGAAGCCAGCTGAAATTGCCAAAAAATTGCATTGCATTGCACTTTGTTTACTCTATCCGACTGCCATTAAAGCTTTTCCAAAAGTCAAAGAAGAAGATAATGAAAAATCGCCAAAGTTGGACATGGTAAAAACCATAGGTCCGAAAATTCGGCCATTATCTCACTGACCACAAGAGCGAGCGGCACAGTGATATGACAGTTGAAAAGAGGAAGAAAAGCTGCGTCGGACAGTGCCTGAAGCGTTTCCCTTTCTTGGTTCCACGTGTTTTTATGATATGTTGAAAAAACGGAAAGAACTTTCGGAACGACCTAATATTTATATTTAATTTAATTTATTCGTATTTTATTGTGTTTGGAAACGCTCTACTATATCCGTACAAAATCCGGTTTCATTGTATAGCCTGTGGAATTTCTCATGCATGTATTGTAACAAGATTTAAAAAAAAGGAGCCGTGTCTAAGTCTCTGATTTTTCTTAGAGTTATGAAAGCTTGCTCACAGCAAATTCGCTGTGTCACGACGCCGTTCTCCTGCTTTGAAAATTTCGACCTCTTTCATGCGTCTCCAGTGAGTCACAAAACAAGGAAAGAAATCATCCTTTGGTCCTACGATCGGATTCATTTCTTAGAATTGCAAGTAATTTTTTCTCGAGCTTACTGCTTCTGGATAGCCGCAACAACTCTAAGCACTTTACTATAAAATGACTTTATTTACGATCACATCACTGTGAACATATTTTTGAATTGCGCAAAGGGCAAGAATGGTTTTCGTACGAGTTCTGTCGCAATCATTCTTTTATAGACATAGCATTTTTTACCCAAAAATGGTGTTGAAGACGGGGATTGAACCAAAGACTACCACACTATAGTCTAAAGCGTTCTTATTGTCAAACCACAATGACTGTCTTTTAGTATATCCACATCATGAATGAGTTATGCCAAACATTCATGAATATGGAGGAATTTCTCTTCATAGAAAATAATTTTGCTCTGTATTCATTCCTTCTCAACTGTTATTATATTCACTCTTGTTTACAGTACAGGGCCTAGACATGCTAAACTTCAAATGTCGGTATCAGACCCAAGCTGATGTCCTCTTCCGTAAAAGCCATTCTTTTTGTGACCACGATAGAGTACAATCAAATTTTATAGATTACTTACCCAATCTAGGCAGATTTACTTTGAAAAAGTTTTGAGGAATCAAGCATTACCTGCATAAATACAGGGTGTCCCAAAAATGTTTTGAACGTTTGATCGTTGATATCTCTCTTCCCAAGAAGTCTTTTGCCTTGCTTCAGGGACCGTTTTGTAGAGCTGGCTTCAACTTAGATTTGCATTATAGAACGAATCACCCATCTCTCTTCATTACTGTAGGATTACGGTAGGAACTTCAAAGAGGGATTTGAGCCACGAAAGGCCATATTTTGCCTCAGAAAGGAAACAAAACAGCCTGAAAACTATTACACTAGGCTAATTAGAGTTGCTGATTTTAATTGTGAAGTTCCCAACTTATTAGATGCTTCATTGAAGAGTTATGCCAGGTAAGAGGTAGCGGCCATTTTTTCAATGTTCCTAAAAAGTGCGATTACACCGTTTAGAAAACTTCGCAACCTTTTGAACAGTTGAGTATTGAACTCAGCGTCCATAAAAACCCTATTACACAAGTTTTCACAATTATCTGAAAAATTTTGAAACGGCAGCTTTTTTCTACATTGACACCACATGTTCCAAGTTTCTACTGTAATCCTACAGTGATGAAGAGAGATGGATGATTTGTTCTGTAGTGCAAATGTAAGTTGAAACCAGCTCACAAAAAGGTACCTGAAGCAAGGCGAAAGACTTCTTGGGAAGAGAGATATTAACGATCAAACGTTCGAAACATTTTTTTGGGACACCCTGTATAAACAAGCGTTTTGATTACTCAGTAACATACATGTTTTCAAATAACGCAACGCTAATTATTCAGTTTTATTCAAAAAATGCTTCATCTTGTTCGTTATTTTTTCGATTTTTGCTTTTTCTAGGTAAAACGCGATCAATTTTGAAATCAGAAATTTTGTTTACTTACAAGACGCGTCTAGGCCTTTCAACTTTGGTTTAATAATTCATTACAATATTCCGTTTTTATTCAGAAATAATAAGACATGAAACCAAATAAAAAAGAAGAAAATGAATTTTTTCTCAATTTTACGCCTTATGGCGGTGTCATGGACGATGCCACGCGTCAGAATTTGAAAGAGCAATTTTTTGAGGGTTTCATGCAACTTTTGGCGCGAGTCGAGCGACGAGGCTGGACAAGGCTTCCTTCGTTCGCGCGATTGCCGCATGCTCACGCGAACCGGTGCAAAGTGGGTGCGTAATACCGTAGCCAGCTCGGCGCGCGTGCCGACTATGGCGGCAAGCTTTGGCGATGAGGACTTTGTACTATAACGCACGTCCTCCACCAAATATAGCTTATGTAGTAACCCGGTTCTTTACAATGAAAGTAAAACCAGTGCTCACCTTGTAACCAGCTTCATAGTATTCGAAGGGTATGTAAGGAAAATTGTCCAGGTACTTCTTGCAGAATGTCGTTCCGTCTAGATCTGCCTCTATTTTTTCTATATTCATAACCGTTCTTTCAACTGCTTCGGTAGTTTTTCCTGCAGGAAAGATAGGTAAAGGATGCACTTAGTGTTAGCACAAGATCATATGTGTGTGGAGATTACCCAACAAAAGAGGAAACATATTTGGCCTGCTATTTGAACCAACTTTGTTCAACTTTGGAAATTCTACGGCGTCCATACCATGCAGGAGGAAGTTGACGGTTTTCGGCAAAGCCCTGAAAGAAAAACTGCGGGTTATGTTATATCCAAGTTAGGTGTCGTAATTTGAAATGAGAAACTCTTATGTCAAGAATTTATGCAACAGCCTGAGGAGTTTGCAAAGTCTGCTAAGTATTCACGTTTTGAAAATTGCTAGGAGGGTAGGTCCAAGATGCTGCAGAAAAGCGAGTAAAACTCATAAGATCCATCATGTGTGTCGAAAAATACACTTTTCGGCGAAGGAGCTGCCATGCTTTTTTAATAGTGCATTACTTCTGTTTCGCAGAAGTCGCACCGATCTACTGACTATGCGCTTTTTCAGGCGTATAAATATGACTTTGATACTGCGAAGTAATACATTCAGGGGACTATATATCGCCGAATTCCGTCCCTTGTGGACTGCTGGCACAAATCCTCTACCCGATAATGCTGGCCATCAGAAATGAATTGTAAACAACTACTCTGTTCTATAGTTCTCCTTGTACGGCAAAAATAGGCAGCCCTGCACCGAATACCCTGCGCTCTGCGCTGAAAATTGATCTCCTATTGGAAAGCGTTTCCAGAAGTGTTATGGGCTAGAACTTTGAGCAAACATTCTTGGTTAAGTTGGGCAAAGTGCGCAAAGAATAAGTGCTTTCAAAATGGCTTTCCATTTTCTTTCGAATGATGATACTTCTGATGTAGATAACTAATAGAGTGCTCCTATGACCCAATGAATATGTGTTGCTCTCGGTTCCTATGGGGGTAGATTAGGTTCAAGCTTATACTTTACACATCATCTATTTAAGGGCACTACTAAAGTGAGGGAGCGTACATACCATATCCTTGCTATCTATTTTCATATGCGTAAACGTGAAACCCAAAACAGCAGTAGTGGTGTCGTTCTCATGATTTCCTGCTTGTTCAATGCTTATTTGCCTCTTCCAGTTTCCACTCCTTATTGAAGCGCTGGTTAGAAACGTCTCCTTTTTCGGAAGAAAACACCGGAATCGAACTTCTTACATCATAAACACTAATAAACATGTTTTTTTTTCAGATAATATTTTGCAGACTCACAAGTGGTCGAGCTGAACTGGTCAATTCAAACAACTGCATGTCATTCAATGCAGTATGCAACGCTGACTTCAAATATGTTTTCGCATCTGCTGCAGTCTATTGCAGAAAAATCCAAGATAAAAGTTGCAAAATTGAGCCAATTATTGCCCTTAGCTCAGATAGGTATAAGATATAGAAGTAACCCAGCTACAAGTTTTGTTCTACCACTGAGCCGAACATGGCTGTATGCGGCCAAATTTGCACTTTGCACGCACGATTTCCTAGCAAAATGATACCTTCAATGACTTATAACTTCGCCCACAAATGCGTTGTGTATAAGGAACAGATTCAAAGCCGGCGTTTCATGCTGCATCTAATGGTTTATAGCTTGCTTGAATTGGCCACTTCGACTTCTGACCGTTCCCTTGTTGAGCTAGTATATCTGAGTCTAAGGCTTTGGCCACACATTACCCGTGTTACCAGTATTACCGGTGTTACTAGTGTTACTAGTAATGCAAGTGTTACTCGTGTTACTCACCAGTTAGTGATATTGCGTTTTGAAATGAGACGGTATTGTGATCATTTCACTATTCAACAGCAATAAAAGTGGTAGCACTAGTAACACCAGTAACACGAGTAACACGAGTAACCTAGTAACACTGGTAACAACGGTAACACGGGTAACACAGATAAAGTATAGCCAATGCCTAAATAGATGTAATAGACGCTGACTACAACATTGAGCGTAACCAGATTGCTACACGAATAGTGGAGATCTAGTGACCAATAAAAGGATTGAAGCACGGCTTGGCATGTGCTGATTTGGAGGATGTTTCAAAATGGTGTCTGCCATGACTCCTCAAGTTCTCACGAAGTCGCTACTGACATGAATCTAGATGAGAAACGACAGCAATCAGAAGCACTAACAGCAATAAAAACAAAAAACAATTGGCTCCATTTTGAAGGAGTCTTGGTAGGCGCGTGACTGGAGCACCAATTCTATCAGTGCGTTTATTTTACTATTTTTGGCTCAAAAAAAGGAGAAGAGGCAATGGTTTGATTCCTCTCCTCACTATATAATAATCTTTTGATTGCTCCAATCAACTAAATTAGATAGGACAATTGTTCCAATCATCTGAATCAGATAGGCCAAAGCATATATGAATTCTGCATTATGCGCTAAATTTACCCAGTTGGTTTGGCGATGTTCTACAAACCAAGAAACTCGGGAACGGGCATTAGGTCGCATAAATTTCAATACTTTTCACCTAAAGTTTAGCACAGCATTGTACACACATAGCCGAAAATTGGTGTTATGTGATTGCTTGTGCGCTCCAAGCCATTGGTTAGATTGCTTGTGCGCTCCAAGCCATTGGTTAATTTGAGCATCATTTTGAGCTTGAGCGCTTAATGAGAGAACACTTTAGAGCATTTCATACATGTACGAACTTGATGGTTAGCATATCAGGGGCGGTAAGTATAGACGTTTCCCATGCGTATAGCGGGCGTGACAGTGCAGACATTTCAACACATTGAAAAACTTGTTGAACCTCCACTCTAAAGCATTACTTTTTGTACTCTCTAGCTGCCAAAAACTGCCACGCGTGTACGTTGCCAAACGTCGGCAAAGCTCCCCCCGCTATAATTTGGGGAAAGAACGATATCAATCTCCCGTTCGGGTAAGTGCCCCCGTAAAGGTCGTAATCCAGTCAGACGCGGGTGCCCAAGGCCCATATGCAAGAAAGTGAGTGCCTGACTGTGCAAGAGCCCGATCAGGCAAAATCTGGTAGGTCTGCAATGCTTGGACACCTATCCGATCTTGTGAACGGATTAGAGCGATAAGAGCGTCTCTTTGGTTACGTGGCCGACAACGTTAACAACTCGAATGATTCAACCACTAGTCATCGAGTAAGATTCAATAATTGTTACGTTGCAGGATAATTGTCTGATTTGGCATTTGGTTTTATTTGATTATGAAATACGCAAGAGCTCAGAACCCGACCTCTTCAGTTTGAGCTCTTGTAAATTTCAATATAAGATCAGATCAAATGTCAAAACAGACAAATCTCTTGCAACATAGCAGTTACAAATCTTACACGCAGGCTGGTGGTCGAACCGCTTAATTTGCCAACGTTTTCGGATACGTGATCAAAGAGACGCACTTTTTCATACATTTCATACACAAACGAGACGGATAGGTGTCCATGCACTGCAGACCTACACGATTCTGCCTGAATGGTCTCTTGCACGGTCAGGCCCCACATTCGCGCATTATGGGTAGTGGGCGCCCGCGTCTGACTGGATTACGATTGCGACTTGTACAGGAAAACCTACGCGAAGAGAGATCAATACATACCGCCCTAGGTCTTGGTACCTACCGCCCCAGATCACTTACATATGTTCTTTAGCAATTCTACAATACCCCTTTGCTTTCCCCCAAAACTTTAGTTTGAACCCGAACCATCCCTGCCGGACATGGATGTGAGGAAAAGAAATTGGATGCACTTGCTATGTATGTTATACACTTCTGCACATCTCATTATGTTTTGAGTATCTTCTGTGTGCTGATTCTAAGAATTCTGTGCTCCTCTCATACTGATCTTAGCAGTCACTATTCTCAAGATACCTTCTATTTCAATGAAAATCAAAGCTAGACACGCTGCCTGTTCGCGAAAACAAGATGTGGTACAAGACAGCGTGAAGTCTGCACTAAAACGTATGAGAGGAAAACTGGAACTAATATTTGTCCTTCTCAACGTAACATAAGAAGAAGCTCGACTAATGGAGCTCGTGCTCCCAAAGTCTTTCTAGCAAGATGAATGAAAATTACACATAGTAAAAAGAAAGTAGTAAGTAGAGTAAAAAAATAGTAAAAACAAAGCCGGCACAAGACAGTAAAATAGTTGACTTTTCACGACTGAACTAAGTTTGTGAGGTCTCACCTAATTATTTGAGTTGACGCCACGGAATCTATAACGATAATGTGCACATCTGGATGTATGGAACGCTCCATCTTCGATGATTTTAGAGGGAGCCTGAATCAACGACATCGTGTTTTGTTTAGACAGATATTAGGGTTGGTGCAAAAGTTCTTTTCCACCAAATTCAAAAATTCATAACTTGTTGAATTCTCAACGAATTTGCAAGGTCTAAATTTCTTGTAAGAGAAAAACTCATACTCTTTGCAACTCTACTTGAATGTTCGCTAATGTATACAAATGAAGGAGATAGAAGCTCAAAACCAAAATCACTCAAAATTTGAATTTTTCGTGTAGGTCATAAAAAATCGGTAACTTGCGATAAAAATCGGAGCAGTCAGTATTGTAGCGTTTTTCACAAGCTCTTTCCAACAGTGCAAACTTTGTGCTGACTGAGCGTCTCTGTGGAAAGTTATGAATTCCCTGAAAAATGCTAAATAAATCAAGTTCGCCCTTTTGTATTGCTTGCTCGAAAATCATAACTTTTCATAGAGACGTTCAATCGGCGCAAACTTTGCACTGTTGGAAAGAGCTCGTGAAAGAGCCTACAATATTGACTGCTCCGAGTTTTATCGCAAGTTTCCGATTTTTTATGACCCTACACGAAAAATTCAAATTTTGAGTGATTTTGGTTTTGAACTTCTATCTCCTTCAATTGTACACATTAGCGAACAGTTCAAGTAGAGTAGAGTAGAGTAACAGTTCAAGTAGAGTTGCAAAGAGTATGAGTTTTTCTTTTACAAAAAATTTAGATCTTGCAAATTCGTTGAGAATTCAACAAGTTATGAATTTTTGAATTTGGTGGGAAAGAACTTTTGCACCAACCTAATATAACGAGGCTCGGCAGGTGAGGTATCTTTAAACGTTCTTCATAATGTCATTGCTAGCATTTGAGCGTAACTGCGCTATATTTTTTTCAACTGATATGTGCATTAGGTTTGGCCAGAATTTTTTCTGCCATCTGAGATATTTTCCAAATCAGATTGATGTAAAATTTGCTGTAATTGTGTAATGTGACTGATTATTGACGCCACTGTTGTTAGTCTTCAGGCTCATAAATTGTTTCATGCTTACTTCTTAGCCCTTCGTAGACATAAACATCACAAATGTCGCAACATATTGTTGCATGTGCGCTGAAAACGAGCGTTTATTGGATAAGTCAGAAAAGAGAAGAAAAGATAATTTTGAAAAATCTGTTCGAGACTGAGCTTGAGGCACTTCTTGTGAAGTACTTATAATTATAAGAGAACTGATGTGATTTTTCAGGTATATTTTGACTGAACTCAAGAAAGTTGCATTTCTGCGCTTAAGAAATGGCGTACTTCCAAAACCACGCTGGAATTCGTTCTTACATATTATACGCACATAAAGCGACTTTCAGACTTCAGTTATGTTCCTTATCTCACTAGGTACGAAATTTTGCCTTGTCCGTAAAAACTCCGAAAAATTATTTTACCACTTCCTGCTGCAAGAGGAAAAATTCTGAATTAGTGGACTGCAAGTGAAAACAGTGTACGATGTCTTATTCTAAATATGAAGTAATCACCCACTTCTGCTCAGCGATCTGCATATGCAAGAAACGATTTAGGGAATCTCCGAGCTCGCATTTCGTCTCTACAAAGTCGCAATCAAAGACTTGTCCTTCAATGTCAGACCAATTTCCAGCAATGTAACTTTTGTCATTGCCATACGTAAGACATCTGAAAATGAACATATCGATCTCCACTGCTAGTTGATAATAGAACATTATAGGTCAAGTTTTTAGTAACTTGATCCATACTAGTTTGTGCTTCGAACACCGACCTTGCCGTGCAAGTGAAGTTTTCCTTCCCTGGAAGCAGTTTTATAGTTCCATTAACAAGTTGGGTCACCGGCTTTGAAGTTTCGTTTATCGCACATGCCTGTAAGTTTTGCCAGACAATAACAATTTTTGAAAGTTTTTGTGCCGCACAGGTCTGATATGATGAACAACTTCATAAAATATTCACGACATTACGATCAGCTGGTGAGTTGTTAATTTCCGAAGTTTTAGCTTTGCCTTTCAAATGGAATCCCATAGAATTTTGGCACATAACTGGAAACACCCGAGCGAAGCCAAGGCCAGCGTGATGTGCGCTCGGGATACTTACAACAATTTACAGTGGGTGTAACCAGGGAAAGGCTGCTGAAGTCCTTTTCAAATTCTTCAGAAATTGTGTGATTTCTTTAGAAACCAAGAGCGCATAAATTACAGGGCGGGCAAAAGAGCCATGCTCCACCTCGAAGTTTGGTCCTCTTGAGCAAAAACCTCATATAAGAATGTTTAGCACGCTGAATACTTTGGTTTTGAAATCCAAGATTGCTCTTTCTCAACAGTTTCCTGTCTTACAAAAATTTTACCGTGCTGCTACCGTAACACCTCCCTCCCCCCTACCACCCCTGCAGCCGTGAAGAAAAATGAGATTCGTGATCAGCACTGAGGTGACCTCACTACATTTTTTTTGAAAATTTATGATGTTGAGAGCGTACTCACTACCGTGACGTTAACCAAAATGATATCATGCCAAAATTGAAATAAACATCAATAACAAGTGCCTTCGATAACTCCTGTGCGCAAATTCCTGACATTTTTTGAACTTTTACTAAAAAACTACCAGTTACTTACGGTGGTTACAAATTTTAAAGGCGCGAAAAAAGTGTCTACCACGAGGCGGTAGTAAAAATTTGCCCTAATATGTCAAAACATACGGAAAATCTTCATTATTTTTCAGTTAGTTGGAGTGACGTCACTGAAGTAGTAACCAAACTTATCTACCCACTAAATCACAACGTACTCACTGCTTTGTATCCATGTTTGACGTCAACGTACTTCAAGACAGATTTGTGCCATGGATCAGGAAGATGGAATGGGCATTCATCAAAAATGTCACCTTCGTTTGTTTCGTTTGTCTTTTCTCCATCATAAGCAGAAATTGGCAATTTTTTCGTCATCACTGGAAACATAAGCACTATTAATCTACTTTTGTTGAGGTATCTCTATTCTAAGATGCAAGATGATCCTTTCAATCGCTAAGATAAGCGAGCTGAAAAAGAAAGAGTAGATGTGAGAATGCTTCAATTTGTCTTCTTTCAAGAAAATGAAGCAATATCTGGCACAGAAACTTCAGTCGAACAAAATTTATCTTCTTTTCAAGAAAGTCGGCTTTTAGACTGGTCACGAGCCGGTTACCAAGGTTGGGCAGTAATGGCTGTGCTTTGAATCTGAGATGGCGAATTTTTCATAATTGGGGTTGCATATATGCGTTAGCCACGCACCCAGAAAAGATTTTTGGTATGCTTCTCAAAATTTTCGCGGGCCCATAACCCCAAAATTTTAGAAAAAGAGGGCGTGGCGTCAGCCACGCCCCCGAAAAAATTTTTTTATGAGGCTAAGTTGATTTTCTAAAAAATTTTAAAAATTTTTTTGTTCAACTAATTTCCTCACATCTCAACATAAATACAGTTTATTGAGTTGTCTATATAATGCTTTATCTCGGTTTTGACTTTTTACCGCAATAAAATAATATGCAATACTTCTCTCATTTGAGGTTACCAAGTATCACTCGACAAACAAAGTAACCTGGACTAAACAATGAACGTCTGTTTGCACTGCCTTCTACTATCCACCTCAAACTTGGAGCCATTGTCTAAGAAGTTTTTCAAGCCCGAAAAATTGAAAAAATTCATAATTTAGTGAGTGGCTCTACAGGTCTCTCATGCTCACATTCACAAATATATTGCTACACTCTTTACCCTGCTAAAAATTGGAAAAAAAACTCCGAATATTTATATAGTTTTAGAATTGCGAAGCTATGCTGTTTAGATTGTTACTACAAACCGCTAAAAGTACAACTGTGAATTTCCAATTTCCTACAAACACTATGTAATTCTTGAAAAAAATATTATAAAATCAATATTTTTTGGAGTCTAGAAGTTGTAGAAGCTAAGAATTTACGACTGTACTTTTAAAGATTCACAGTATACATAAAATAGTGCATATGGGAACAGCATAGGTTTGCTTTGAAAAGCACTGTATTTTCGTTTTATCGATTTTTAGACAACCGAAGGATACAGCAACGGTACATGTGAGTTGAAAGTATATACAGTTGTTTTCAATACGTATTGGTTTTTTCTACCGTATGCCTTCCAGCCTCAACATGACGTGGATTGGTGTGGATTGGTATGGATTGGTGAGGCGCCGCATCGCTTCGGGTTTGCGCCGCGTTGCTTTTCTCGGCGACGCCGCACCAATCCACACCAATTCACACCAATCCACGTCATGTTGAGGCTGGAAGGCATACGGTAGAAAAAACCAATACGTATTGAAAACGACTGTATGCTGTTCGAGTAAGCGATTCGTAGAAAATTTCTTTCAATTTGGATTTTTTTCAGATTTTAAAACAAGACTTGGGGTGGAGCGAGTGCGAACTGTTGTAGACCATCTTGTAAGCTTGCTTTATTCTATGGAATGTGCCTTGAGATCTATTTAGATATTATAGCTGATGACCTGTTGCACTAATAAGTCAAAAACAAAAAATATGAAAGAACCCAAAATCGGAAACATTGACTAAAAAACCTTAAATAACTTGTGTTGTTCAGACCTCATAAAAGATAACCTCTTTGCTACTTGTCCCAAAAACAATGTCCGGCTCCCTTATAAGATACCTATACCGATCCCTGAACTTAATGGATCCGCTTTGTTTTGAAATCGCTATAAAATTGTTATCTTTCAGAGCTTTTCATCTTCTTTTTTTTTGTTAGAGCTCAAAGTGTATGCAGCACGTAAATCTAAACCTTGAAGAAGGGATCTGATTAACCGATGCAGCTGGCTTGAAAGTGAATCTAAAAATTCTAACGGAATAGAATTTTCGTTGGAGATATTACCGCCACTCTTGCGTCGACTTATACAGTTGATTCTCAAAATATCCATGTTTGAGTAGGAACTTGTTTTGCGTAAATGAAATGACTTCAGAAAGACGGCGAAGAAGTCTTTGGTGTGTTTCGTTTCCGGATAATCACCAGATCAACTGATAAGGGGATACAACTACTCATAAGGAGACTTATGATTCAGGAAGGAAATTTTTATTTTTACCTGACTTCACCGTTGACTTCCGAAAGCCTGTGCTAAACATCGACATCTTATTCTCATTAAATGCGCCTCCTGGAAATGTGTTCAAATGTTCTTTCATATAGTTTCAAACAGAAGTATTGAAAAAATAATCCAGCACAAACTTTGTGAATAACTCTGATCCTCTGCTGTCTTCATCGTTTCTTCAACGAATACATCGTAACTCATATAGAAGAGAAAAGCAATTACCAATCCACATAAAATATACACAGCTGTCATTCCTAAAGTGGAATTTGGTTGAATGAATGGCACGAAGCAACATGGAAAATCATATAATTTATGCCAGCCTTTCTTCAAGACATCTTCAATCCATGCATATATCGTAAATAAAATGAATTCACTCATGTCAGAAAGGACTTTTTGTTTTGTTGTGCAAATCGGTGTAGTGATGCTTCCACTGGGACAGATTTGGGTATTATTTGCGGGAAATTGATGTCTTACTCAATTTATTATGATTCAGAAGAGAGTTAGTTGACGAAGTTGAGGAGCAGAAGTGTTAGGTTGGTCAAAAGGTTCGTTCACACCGGTTCGCGGAAGAATGTTATTCAGTCCATCTGCATGATTTGCTGTGAAAACTTTTGTTGGAATGAAGAGATCATGTAATTCTCAATTGTAGGATGTCGCAGAGATAGAATGCAACAAAAAGAAGCCTCAAATTTGGGTAATTTTGAGTAAGCACATCAAAAATGCGAAAGCTTTACAAAAAAGTAAAAAAAAACATGAAGGATGTTCTATCTTCTTAGCTAATCGTGCAAACGAAGGTCCCCTCGAAAAGATAAGATTTCTGTGAGGAATGCTCTTTTTCGCGGAAAACAATCTGTTCTCAATTACCACTATTTTGCACAGCTAGAAAGAGTAGGTCTTATCTTAATTTCGCTGTGAAATTTTTGGATATTTTTGAGCTTGTTTAGAAATTGCTAAAATTGAGTTTCCTTCATTTGCGTCTAGCTCTCGTATTTTCTCGTTCTAATTCATGGCAAAAGTACTACTCTAAAGCGCATGATTTCCGCTTTCATATAACACTACTCTTGAAATTTCTGCGATTTGGTTGGAAATTCAATTCTAATTGATTTTTTCATGGGTTTCTAAATCTTGCCTTTGCTTACACCGATTTACGGCAGAGGTGGTTCCGTGAAGATCATGGCTTTAACTTTCGAACAAAAGTAAATTCAAGGAACGAATTTTTGCATCAACCTAATAGTTTATTGAAATGACTGATTACTGGACTTTTTTCTTACTTTTCAGGCGGTGCTCTCGTAAAAAACTTTTTTTTTTCGAAAACTTCTCATAATGTTTAAAAGAACGTTTCTCCTATAGTTCTTCACCTATGTAGACCTTTTCTTACAGTAGAATAGGCTAAAACTCAAAGTTTCTTTTTTCGCGTGCTTGCTTCAAGTCCATGGAAAATAGGTGGTATTATCCCATAAAATATGCATAGTTAATAAAAATTTTTCCTCAAAAAATGATTTTTCAGAAAGTGAGAGTTAAAAAATTTCAAGAGAAACCGATAAAATCTTGGCAGATCAACCTTCTATGCCATATTTTAATCACAAGAACGATTGCAGAAATGCTCTACGACGAAGGAGTAAGCCTAGTAAATTCACTAATAGAAGAGCAGAGCTAGGAATTTCTGAACTTTCAGGGGAAAAATAAAGAAACCTCAAAAAGCAAAGTCACATAATTGATTGCTTTTGATTTGTTACATTTTTCCCGAAGAGAATCCGTAGAATTCAAGCTTGGTATGATTGCTTGATTATTGGCTACGTAATGAGCACAGCCCTACCCTCGAACATCTCAGAGTGTGGCACGCATTCTCAAACTAGAATTCGGAAAAAAATTTGGCAGCTTTCGGGCAAGAAAGAATAGTCCTATTACCGTGGGAAAGGATTCATTGTAATTCAAAGTTGTATTCGAAAATAGCATCAAAAAAGGACCAAGCTAATATGTTAGCTTGTCATATCGCTCTTACATAGATATAAAAAATTACTTAGCAGTCGATGACAAATTTGAGCTATTCTATGGCTTAATAGATTCAGTGCTTTAGAAAAGACATCTGCCAGCAGCAACTTTTCAAAAATGCAGCAGGGTTGCCAAGAAACACCACTGACTAGGATGACTTTGCACATATGACTAACAATAAGAGGTGGCATTTTTGGAATGATGCTAATATTTTGTGGCTATTGTCTCTTATATTGATTCAATATTGAAAGCAATACATCGGAATTTGTGATTTGAACGACAACGAACGTTGAGACCTATATGAATGGTTTCGATTTCCGCAGGAGGGTCATGACAACAAGCGCATCATACACAAAACAATTCTCGTCGGTAGAGATAAAAAGCAGGAAAAAGACGACATGAACAAGGCCACGTAGTTTTTCTCTTTTTTCTCACTCTTTGTCAGTATAGATGTCAAAGGCTTTCCTATCCTCTTCTTCATGAGTATAATCGATACACATATAACACTTCGTGTTTGTAATTTAGGTTTCCATAAAAATGCAGAAGCTAGCGCTTGCAGCGTATGGTGCAAAAGTTGCAGAGCTAATTGAACATCACACAAAATTACAAAAATGCTATTCATTGCACAGAAAGAAAAGAGCACTTCTGCAGTCTTGTAAAGTGCGAGGATGCGGAGTTTGAAATTAAATAAATGGTTCAGAAGATAGCTTTCAGATATTTTTCACATCATTGGAAAGCTTTCCAAACCTTAAAACTAGTACATAATAAGATGTCTCCTTCCATAATTGCACCAGCTATACAACTTTGAAATAAACGATAAGCGCTTTATCTAAGGTTTCTAGGGCAATCAAGCTCAATGATTGTCTCTCTCTCTCTGTGCCTTATCTTAACTGATAAAAATCAAACCATTGACCCTTTGGAGTCAATATATTCTTTCGATTTGCTGGCAAACTTGTGCTAAAAAGCTGAAAATTGGCTACGGGTAGTGGAAGGTGGAGCATAGTGCCCATGATTGAAATATAGTCATAGATCACTTTTGTTGGTTTTACGCATTTGTTGGTTTTATGTCGCTTACGATCATTTGCACGATTTTACGACTATTTGCTAGCTTTGAGAGAAGATGTGAATGGTATGTTGGAATATAAGCTGATTACGAAAGCAACAAATTTTAAGGATACCATCGCTCACCCTCACCTATTTAGTTGAGTTTTCGCCAGTTCGAGGTGAGACTTGAAACTTTAACTCACATACTGATTGAAATACCCCTCCCTCTTTTCCAAGTTTTCGTGCTAGTTCCTCAATTTTTGAATTTCGGATATTGTCCATTGGGCAGCGTCGATTTTAGAAGCGTTTGCTGTGTTTCACGCTGAAATCAAGGTCGATCTCTTTCGAAATCATACGACATCTTGTTCCTACAGTCCAAGTCTAATCAAACGCAGATGGAATAGATTTTAGTGTATTCAATTTTTAAAAAACTATATATTGTAAGTGCATTTGGGAAATCGTAACGATCGTGCGACCGCGCGCTGCACGCACGCCACTTCTGGAAAGCGCATTTTCTTGATTTTCGTCTCTACAAATAGTCTTTTGTTTACGTATTTTATTATTTCGACAATGGAAGTGACTAAGCTGAGCGCTGAGGTGTTGTATGCGTCCTTGTATGAGCGTTTTATGCTCCTATGGGCGCAAAGTCCGCGGTCAAATCCGTGATCACGATTTTATAGATGACCTACATCTCAATGATAGTCAGTGCACATAATAACCTGTATCATCCAACTGTGCATGCATTATTAATAGACTTTGTAAGAAAGACTCTTTCAGTGCAACTTTTTGTTGTGCAGAAGGCATATGCAGCATACAAATGACTGAAATGTAACCTCATCCGATACTTTCTGGCATATCGCTGTGGCTAACAATAATGGTGCGATGTAATAACAGTTCACTAACAAACAGACTAGCTCTCAATGTTCAAAAATGCCAACTTTTTATATAAAGCTAACACTCATGAAATAGTGTATGTAATTACTCTCCACAAATCATTTTATAATAAAGAATGCAAGGTTTTGCACTTACATGTTGACGAGTTACGGACTGAGGCGAGTGATTGCGGAGGGTGCGGAGGGAACAAATTTACCAACAAGGCTAGCGTGTTTTCGTAGAGGGTGAGCATCGTCCCTCCTCGGGGAATGTTTTCGAAAAGGGTGTGACTACTAAGTACAAAAAGGCTATAGTATGGGGAGGTGCCGACACTCTCGTAAGGTTGCTAACAGTACCCTCCCCCTCCTTCGCAAGATTGAACCCTGCGCTTATGACTGATTCGAACCTTGTTTTGAGTTTTTGGTATTGGAGCCCCATGCCTGTCTAGCTGTCGACATGCTGTATATCCTCACGTTCATGTTACATGCTGCAATAATCTGCTCACTTCTCATTTTTCTGTTGAAGTATCCATTTCTGGTTCAATAAAAGACCAATGAGGACAGTTCTTTCGTTTTGTTTCTCGAAATACTTGTTTGTTACTATAGGTTTTTAAGAATCTGGTAGGCCTCTATATTTTTTTCTCAGAAATGGTGCGTTGGCGTTCCATAGAGCAGATCTCCCCGCAAGCGGCTCGTAGAACACGTTTGTAGGGATTCGTAGGACAGTGCCCCTCATAGCAGTTATTTCTCAAGACACCGGTCTGCGAGAGGTCCATAGGGCATTCAGATTGTCATTAACGGTCGCTGTCTGTAGGCGGCCAATAGGCCGATTTTTTTCTCAAATATGGGTTTGAAGGGGATGGCAGCCCTTTCTGAAAACATCAGTTTCTTGAAAAGCAATAACTTTTTCTGTAAACATCGGCCTTTTGTTTTTTTCAAAATATTGGTTTATGGGGACAGGTAGGGCGGTTTTCCTTCAAAAGTTGGTTTCTAACTGGTTCTTAGAAAATTTTTTGCGGATTTGAGAGTTTGTAGGGCAGTGCTTTTTGAAAGATCGGTCTGTGTGCAGCGCACAGGCACCCTTCTCTCGAAGTCGCGAAGGGCGCCCCGTAAGCGGCCCATAGGGCATTTTTTTCAGTATAACAGAAGCTCACAGGGCAGTTCTTTGAAATGTATTTTTGAAAGTTTGTTAATTTGTAAGCAGCCCACAGGACAGCACTTCCTCAATATATTGCTCTGTAAGTGGCCTATCGGGTAGATGATTCTTTTCATAATTGATTATAGTTCTGCAGGGGCCAAAGGGTAGTTTTTTCTTGAAATAACGTCTAAACCAGTCCACGGTTATAGACGTAATTTTGGTTTTTGAAATATTGGTTTACAGGGAGACCTTTTATGGCAGTTATGCCCCAAAATATTGTTTGTAAGTCTCGAAGGGTACAGCCAAAATAAAATTCTGTAGACGGCCTTCGGGGAGTTTTCCTTCTCAAAATGCTGGGTAGGAGACTTATAGAGTCGTTTTTTCGAATATTGGCTGGTAAGCAAATCACACTTTTTCCTTCTTATGAATTATCATAAATATCGGTCTGTTGGCGGCTTGTAGGGCAGTCTCTTTCTCCTGTAGGAAAGTTCATGTATATCGCTCTATAGGCGGTTTGTGGAGCGTTCTTTACAAAAAAAATCTGTAAATGACTGAGGGTATGAGAAAACAAGAGAATTTATTTTGGTCAAATTTTCTAAGAACTAAGGTATTCTTTGAGTGAGTCTTTTGTACGATACATCCGTTTTGAGGTTGACTGCTTTCGAGGTGACTTTAAATGGAGATTGTCAGGAAAATTTGGCCAAGATGATTTATAGATGGGGGTCAGAAGTTCAGAATTCGCAAGATATTATGATAAGATAGCGCTAGCAAATGTTATGATCACGGTCTATCATGGGTTTTCATTTGAAAAGAAGACCTTGTTTTCATGATTCGATTTTCATCATAATTTATAATGTCAGCTGAAGGGCTTCTTAGAAGTCACCTTATAAAGGGCATGATGAGGGGAAGTCTTATTTTGGGAATGAATTTGTGGAGAGGCTTCCATGGGAGGGCGTAATATTTGAAAAAACTTATCAATTTTTTGTTCTCAAATCCTCGTACGGTTGTGATAGAACTTTCGAGAATTATTGAATGATTTGTAGAATCTCGGCGTTTGCGACACTTCCTCATAAACTGGGTTTTCACATGTAACTCTAAGAAAAGGTATAAAATGTAGAGAGATTCGTGGTCACAGCTAGGCGGCTAATAAATTGCTTGCCCCTGCCAAACTGTTAGGGGTACAAATTTGAAAAGACTAGCGACCATGGGGTCGCTAGTCTTTTCAAATTTGCTTACAGGTGAAGTAGTTGGTGCTAAGAACACAGTGTCCTTGGGTTCAAATTTCGTTCACTTCGAACTAAGAAAAGTTTATACATTTTTTGTATGCATAAGTGTTTTGACGAAATGACCCGTACACTGCAAATGATGCAAGAAACCCAAAGTTTTGCTTATGTTCTCATTCATCAACAAGGAAATGGTCAGAAGTCGAAGTGGCCAAACCAAAGAAGCTGCATATCATTCAACGCAGTATAAAACGCTGACTTCGAATCTGTCTTCCTTATCTGCTTATCGCTTCTGTGGACGAAGCTACAAGCGGTTTTATTATGAAAAAATCATACATAAAAACAGCGAAATTGAGCACATTGTTGCACTTTTAGCTCGGCTTCTGGCTTCAAAAATTGCAAGTAAGCTAGCTGCATGTTTTGGCCCAGCATTGAGGCGAACGAGGCTCTGTACGGCTAAATTTTCAATTTCAGGCTTAATTTCTAAGCAAAATAATGGTCTTTAATGGCTTATAAGTTCGTCCACAAAAGCGCTCTCAGATAAGGAAGACAGATTTAGAGTCAGCGTTTTATGCTGCGTCTAATGGTATGTAGCTTGGCACAAGCTGTCTCCCGCCACAACGTCTGAAGTGTGTATTCTCAACCTAAATATGTTCTAACACTTCTCTCCTCATCCTTCCGGTCAAAATTTGCTTTTTGTTTGACTTGAGAAAAGGGCTAGGCTTTTTGATCTTTCTGATTTCTGCTTCAAAACACTTCCAATCAACAATGATAAAAGTTTTACCTAACTAAAAACTTCTTCATATCCAATGGTATCAATCCATCATTTTGAGCATAGCCAAATCATGATAATATGAAACATCTGTGGGATCTAACCGTCAAATAAGGTTTGGCATGTTAGCAAGACTCAATCGAGATTTTTCAACACGACGATTTGTGCGATGGTGTAGAATGGCTTTCTACAGCTTCAACCCTTATTTGCATTCCAGCATGACTAAGATTGTCTGTGACACAGATTTCTAAGATAAAATTACAGTCTGGGCGGCAAGAGAGTGGCAGATGGACACATGCGAAAATAATTTGCTTTTGCTATTTTCGATTTTCACGATTTCTTGGTGTGCCAATTGCGCGAGTCGTTGAATAAGAGCGCGCTTCCTTACGGGTCGGGGCCGTGTTATTTCGTATCGTCACGAAAGAAGAAGATGGTTTCCAAAATCAAACTGTTATATTACAGTTAAACTCTAGATGCAGAACAGATATATGTATAAATCACTTTGTAATAAAGGATGAAAAGGGTTTGTACTTACAAGTTGACAAGTTGCGAAATAAGACATGTGATTCCGGTGGGTGTGAGGGTGAAGATTTGTCAATGAGGCCGGCGTGTTCTCTTACAAGGAATGCGTTTAGTGGAAGTGGCCTTTTTAGATGGGACGTATACCATATCAAAGGGCGTAATTGCTAATTCCAAATCTGCTTTCCTTATCTGCAGAGCATTTATGGACGATGAATTATAAGCGTTTATTGGGGCAAAAAATTGAATGTGCAAGTAGGACAAAAATTGCCGTAATACTTTTTCTAGCTCTTTAATGAAGCAGTGATAATCACACTTAAATCAAAATATACTATACGATAAAAATTATATCACACTAGACTGCATTATTTCAAAGCTAGTAAGATTTTAGCAACTCATTTTATCCATAATGCACATTCAATTTTTGGCTTAAAAAACGCTCATAACTTCTCGTGCATATATGCTCTGCAGATAATGAAGGCTGATTTGAAATCAGAGTTTTATGTCCTCTAATATGGTAAACTTCTTATTTAGAAAGGCCACTTCGATTAAACATGCTTCCCGTGTTAGGGGTAAGCATCGTTTCTCCACGAGGAGTGTTTCAGAAAGAGGTGCGGCTATCAAATGCTGAAGGCTATTTTAATCTCGGGGATGCCGACACTCTCGTTGGGTGCTAACAGCCCCCTCCCTTCTCCCTCTCTTATAAAAGTTTGTACTTGAAGGTATGACTAATTTGGGAACTCGTTGTTTTACTAAACATGCTGTGGCAGTTCTCCAACACGTCATGCTTCGATAATCTGTCCCAATTCTCATTTTCCTGATATCCATGGCTGCACATAGAGCTCAGCAAATTCAGTGATACTTGATGAGTTCAGCCCTTTCGTTTTGTCTCTGAATGGTTTATAAGCGGCCATTAGAGCAATTATATCTCTCGCATTGAGCAATCGTTCAATCGCAAGCTGCTCATGGGGCAGTACTTTGTTTAAAGGTTTGTAGTTTTCACCCGAGCTATATTCTTGCACCTAAGTGGTGTGCCTGCTAGGCACATTCAGATTCGCTATAATTACGAGCCTTCAGGAGACCAAGACATCGCAACCCTCAATCCCTTATCCAGTGTCTCTGATGCCGAAACGAAAAAAAACTTCCAGAATCGAAGTTCAGAAGTGAATTTGCTCCAATCGAGGGCAATTTTCGGATTTAGGGGTTTTTTGAGACTGCTCTTTTCAGTAGTGAGATTTGTTTGTTGCAATGCCAACGCTCAGCACCGATAATGCTTAATCAAGACCAAAATTCGGGTTTAGAGATATTCGAGATTTCTTCAGAACAAGGCCAACTATGAATGAACTAACGACCAAATATCCGTGGCATAGATTTGTATGAAGTTTAGTCCTGAATACCGGAATGTGGTCAAATCCAAATAGATTGAAGTAAACTTTGAACCAGTAGGTGTGTGAAGATTGTTCGTATCGGGAATAAGTTTAATTCAACTACAAACAAAGTTTCTGAGATTTTAAAGTCCGATGTTTCAAAATTTCAAAATCGCAATTCTATGGAAATTCCGTTTTTGTAAAAAAACATTTTCTGCCTTCGAAAAATGTTGAAAACGGACACTCTACGCGGACGATGTGGTCCTGCTAGCAAGCACCAGAAAGGAGTTGCAAGACGTGTACAGGAATGGAAAGACAAGTTAGAGCTGTTTGGGCTGAAGCTCAACACCAAAAAGACGGAGTATATGGAAGTGGAGAACAAAGAAGACAAAAAACTCCAGGAAGACCAAAACGAAGACCAAAACGAGCTTCCATGAACTTACGTTGAGCGGATTGAAATATTCCTATAGCGCCATGTTTTACGATGTTTGTGTCGAATAATAAGCAATCATAACTACAGCTTCGATTATATCCGAAGCTTGTAGAATAGTGTACCCACACCGGAAAAATAAATTCTTTACAAGTCATAAAAAGACATTAGTATCATGCGTTCGAAATAAGCCAGTAAACACGAAACAACGACGGTGCAAGAAAATAAAAAGAGGACAAGTGTGCAGAGTATGCAAAAGTTCGCAATTTCGAAATCCCCTCAAAAACATGCACACTGTGTGTATCTATGTTTTTTTCTGTTTTTTTTCCATCCCTATGAAGCTTCAGTAGCTCTGAGATGTACATAAAGCTCCCGAGAACGCTGAAGAGTGCAAAAGTCGACAAGCACTGCTTATAATTGAAGTTCGTAAAAGTTTACGCCTACAGGCGGAACATTCTTTGTGTATGTGCAACTGAACATGTCACGAGGTATCGCACGTCTGACATTCGTTCCGAGCCGCGCGAAATTGCGTACAAGCAGAACCCGTAACCGCTCGTCCGCTAAATGCGCTCGAGTGATACGCGAATTTCGCGCCGCTGATACATTGTCACTTCGGCGCCGCTGGAATGGTAATTTCGTGCTTGTATCGCTGATGACAATTCTGTGCTATCTAGCGCCACCGATATAGCAGTCCCGGAAATCACGCCCGGCTAAAAGATTGAGCAACACAAAGGTCTTATCAACTTTCGATTATGTTCTTGTGGAAGGATGTACATAAACACATCCAAAGCAATTAGCATGGAGTGCAGCCTAACCACCGTACCTTACGCAAGTATCCTTTATGCTTATAACGTGTGAAAATTACGCTATAGTTTTTGTGGATTTGAAATTGTGAAAATTATAACCGAATGCATAAATAATGATCGCGCACAAAATTAAACGTCTTTCTTTGGCTATGGTATCTATCTAGCCACGGTGAACACGTGGACATGCCTGAAAAGCAGCGTTTGAGGGCACGCGGCCACTCCTGCTTGTCATTTGGGCGCCGCTCGTACTCAAATCCGACTGTGTCGCGCCGCTCATACGCTCGACAGGCTCGGGTCGTAGGAATCCGCTTTTTTTGCGCGCCGTTGGTCCGAAACGAATGTCAGAGTGAGAGTGCCTTCATGTTCGTGGGGACAGGGTCATCGTCAGAGTTGAGCAAGAGGTCAGGCACAAATCTTTTGAAAACGATCCCCCCCCCCATGATAGCCCTCAAACGACCCCTTCATCCTCATCTACTTCCGGAACATCAGGGTGTGACATTCTGAAGGACATCATCCTTTTCTAGAGAGGTCTCAAGTTTTACGAGAAATCGCCCGATTTTCTGTGACTGAACTTTACGTCGTAACTGGCGGTTGATTTTGATCTGGATGGATCTACTAAAAGGGCCATAGTTTCTCTAGGGGTGAGGGTTCGGCTCCAAATTTCTACTGTAGCAAGAAGACGCTATAAGCTCAATACTATGACCAAAAATGGAGCGATTTCTGGATACTGAAGGCAAATTAAGAGGATCGCGCAACCCTCAAAAGCAAAAGCAGCCTGACCTTTTGAGGGGTTGCGCCTGACCCGATTGGCTTTATCAGCGAAGAATCTTTTCCACCTTAATTTTATATGATTCGCTAGCATAAACCTCGAAGACTACAATAGGTGTCTGGGACCTCAACTTTTGGCTTTGCGATGATCAGTGGAGTGTTGAAGCAAACGCGGTAAAAACTCGGTGACTAACATCTTGGCAGCACTTCTTAATCCATTTTTTGAAAGCGATATGAAGTCCAATTTTCCAATTAACATAGACTGATAAAGAGCAATACTTCGTTATGAATACAAAAGAAGCTGACTTCTTTCACTGTTGTGACCAAGTTATTAATCATATTTGAAAACCACGCTTTTTATGCATTAGAAAACACTAGAAAATGTAATAGGTAATGCTTCGTAGAGCTCGTTGAGGTAATTTGGCATGCTGATTACGGAAATTACTCCAATTTACACATGTTTCTTCTGGTGACCTTTAGATATATGTAAGGTATAGGCCGCCCGCGTTGCGCGCGGAGAACAACGCTTTGCGTACAGTCTTCCCCAATCCCAACCAGGCCAAAATTGGCATGGCGGGAGTCCGCGTCGCTAAGGTTTCGCGGTCACGCCCACGGCCTGCTTGTCCGCTCTCTCTTCGACCTCCTCGCTCTCTCCGCCAGCGCGCATATGCAGCGCAAACGCCTAGCGCTGCGAGCGCGCAAATCCACGCCGACGGTTCGGCCTGATCCCGATTGGGGCAGACTGTACATCGAAGGCAGTTCACGAACTGGAAGAAGCGCAGAGAAATCAGGTGGCGAGAGTGTACGAGGAAAGATGAGTGACGCGCAGTACACGCGCAGTCTCCGTGCCCTGCGCGGACGGCCTATAAGGTGAAGAATTGAAATTTGGCTGGGAATTCGTTAGTCGACTTAATCAGCATGCTTTTCACAAAAGTCGTTTTTTTTTGGTGGAGTTGTGAGGCTCACGATTGAGCGCTTTTTTTCTTCACGTTATTCGACCCTATTTCCTCAATTTTTTAATTTTTTTGAACGAGCTTCTTGATTACGACCCCTCCCCCTTGCTCTTACCCCCAAGACGACCTCTCCCCCCCAGGTCGGGTTGGTGCTGTCCGTAGCGTACCAACCTACACCTAATTTGACCACACGGATCCAACATGGGTCTGGAGCAAGTGCTGTTCAAAGGCGTGTCCGGGCAAAATGTCGATTTTGAGATTTTTTACCCGGGCCTTATCGCTATGCTAAATCCAAAAATCTGGCAAACCCACACTGGAGAGCGAAAACGGCAAAATGCTCTAACGCAGGATGGAAAATCAAGTGGGCGAGGTCTTTCCGCTGTATATCTATGCTCACAGCTTCCAGAGTGATTTTACTGGTTCCGATTTTACGTCACGCGTTCGTACTCGGCCGGTGGCGATATCGGGGCAGCTAGCGGAATCGAGAAGATCGTTCCGAAAGCTGGAAGCGTGCACGGTGGGGAGGAGCTCGCCTCCTGCTAATTTCTCTTGTGCATTGCAGCTCTTTTTTGTTTTTGCGCCCTCCAGTGTGGGTTTTCGGATTCAGCATAGAGAATAGGCTCGGGTAAGCACAAAATCGCAAAACCGAATTTTTGCCCAGACATTGCCTTTAACTGCATTTGCTCCAGATCAACTTCCTTGTAGAGATCACAGCTCCACACGAAAGCTTAGTACAGCTCGTGTTCGTATGCGCTGAACACGAGCTGTACTAAGCAAGAACGTAAGATTAGTGAATAGTAGGCGTGTACAGGGATCAAGACTTTGAATTTATAAACTTCGCACGAACTTAGTCTATAGGATTTGACATACTGGTAACATATCGCTATTTTTGCATGGTTAGTGACTTCCAGAGTTACGATGACTGCACGGTGAGAAGTCATAACCATAGATTTTGTTGCAAGTGTACAAATGAGTTATTCGACATGCTGATTCAGTCATCGTGCGCACTAACTATCGCAGTTTTTCACTGATTTGTTTAGCTTGCACAAAATTGGTATATCTCATTATTTGCGTTTCGGCTATATCGCCTTCTTCGGGGTTGGAAAAGTCGTGACCATGTAGACTGCCCAGTCAGCAACTTTGTCACGATAAGCAAATTGTCCATCCTGTTAGCGAATCAAAAGAGTACAAATGACAAGATCGGGTCATTGCCCTGTCAACAGTTCAATGCGGCTGACCACCATTATCATGCAGTTTTATCGCAAAGCTATGGTATGTCTAATGTACAAGGTCAAGATTTCAGGCTCAAAGGTCCCATTGTTCTGTTTGTTCATAGTCTCGTGTCTTTTTTTTCGTGCTGAGTAAGATTCGAAGGCGCTCCTCTCTTTACCAATGAAATTTGTTAGATCTGCATTGTCATTTTTGGGCTTCGAATTGATCTAGGCACGGAAAAAAGTATTAGGTTGGCGGAAAATTTCTGTTACACTTATATTTTTAATTTTCAAAATTTAAGAACCTTCGAAGATTCTTATGTTTAAGGAGTGTTGGCGGAGTACAAAGGTCTACCCGCCGGTACTGTCAGATCCGCGGTCCGAGCGAAAAACACCCACTTTTTCGGTGGGAGTACATTTTATGGACATTTTTGTCAGCGGGCTGGCATTGCTCCAGGTGATTGAAAAGAGACCGGGCGATATGGTATTCGGGCAGGTATGGTCCATAGTTTTTAGCGAAGGGGGATGGCACAATCATGTCCGCACGCGATCACATCAACTACATGTTGCGCCATGTCAGCGCACATTGGTATTTTGACATGAAGAACAATCTTTAAAAATTTACAAAAATTATTTCCAACCTTTCCGTGTCGAATTCTACACGATGCACACAAAAAGGAAAATTTTCGACGAATTTTTGATTTTTTTGAGCACCCCCGGCGTGCTAGCGGCACCAAGGTGCTACCATAAAAGAGACGATGCGGAAATATGGTCTAAAAAGTTATGGGAAAGAAAAAACACATTTAGTCTCAGAGAAAAAAATCAAAGAAAAAATGACAATTTTGAGTGTGCTTATAAACTTGTCGGTAAAGTTGCTGGCTAATTGTGCATTTGCGGCATCACTCATACTGTTGTGTACGCCCTGCCGTGGCCTACATATGGAGCCACTTTGAAGATTCTAGAGAACTTCTGGAACTTTTGCGAATTCTACGAGAAAAGTGTAACAGAAATTATCCGCCAACCTAATAAAGATGCACTGCCATGCGAAAGAATGCAATATTTGTGATCAGCATCAGATTACCTTCTGCACATTTGTTCTGACTTTGCTCTCGTATCGTATAACCACCGAAACGAAATGACCATGTCGTACGGGTTGAATGCCATATAAATAATCGGCAAACTGGGTATCCTTGCTAGTTTAAACTTAGCCAAGTGGATCCCCTACAGTATGCCTACCGTAAATGTTCTCATGAGGGAAGAGTGGGACATCAGCAATCAGCTTGTCGAGTCTTCTTGAGATCTGTGTTTTGGCCTACGTTATAATACCGAGTTTAACCACACAGAGTGGCGTCCTCCTGCAGAAAAAGTGTGATGTTCGTGAATAGCATGTAAG